CAAATTGAAACTTGAATGGATTGCATTACTTCAACCAAAAGACAAAAACAAAACCAAAAACAAATACTAACAAAAACAGTTTAGCAGTATTGGCAGCAACCGAATGAATTTATTAAGCAATCTAAGTGAAATGGTTAATCTAAGTGAAATTACGAGTAAATTTATAATCAAGTTAAATATGAAAAATCTTAAACTTACCTCTTTGCGTAGAGTATGAACCTCATTCTGCAACGATGCTACCATCTCACGTAGAGCGGCTACCTCACCGCGTAAAGTAGACACCTCAACACGCCATGCACCATCGTCTTTGCGTAAAGTACCGACCTCCTCACGCAAGGCATTGACCTCATCACGTAACTCTCCTAACTCATCCCGTGGAGGTGGAGAACAGGGAGATAAACGTCGTGGCATCTTTGCCGGTCGCCTATCTTGCGGTGATGGTGGAGAAGAGGCTCGATGATGTGATAGAATAGGTGATGGTTGTCGTTGTGGAGGTGTATAGTCGGGTCGATCAGGTGATGGCTCTGGGTGAGGTGATAGCTCTGGGTGAGGTGATGGCTCCCGAAGTGGAGGCTGCTCATCATCTGTGCCATCAAAAAAACGCTTACTAGCTTGCCACCAATCAGTGGCAAGCTCAGCTTCCGTGGGTGTCAGCCTCTGTAATGGAGTGTTGGCCTCCTAACAATATAAAAGCTCAAACAAAGTTAAACGTGTACTAGTAATAACTTGTTTATAAACATATGGTAGTATTTATGTTAACTTACATTATTTATTGTCGTATACCGTAGTAAATCTTCCCATTGCAAGGTCTGTTTCTTCTTCCAGGAAATAGCCCTGGGAATATCATTTGAAGTTTTTATTGCATATGTCTTCATGGCGGGAAAGGCCTCAAATATCCAAATCTACAAACAATATAATAACAAACATTAGTAATTGTTAAATAATTACTTATAATTTTTGAAACATTATATAAAAATTCTTACCTTAAAGGCCCAAATAAAGCCTGTCAAAGTGTATTTGGAACCATCGCCATGCAAACTTTTTCGATCATCCAAGGTAGACGATAACTTATTCCATGTAGCTTTCCATAAATACGAGCCCCACGGAAACAGGTTCCACGCATTTAGGTCTTCTACCGATTTGATTAGATCATTCGGAATAGGTTGTCTGGCCTCTCTGCCTAAAAAGCCGGCATGCAAAAGTATTAGAAGGCATACTCGGACAACATCGACGTCATCCATCCTAGTAAAACTATCTTTCTTATTCAATAATATCGTCAGGTCTTCCACGTGTAGATTCGGCCTCTCCAGCTCAGGAAAAACCCGGATAACCATGATGGGCGGGTAATGTGTCTAGTGTACCGACCTACATCATCGTGTCCGAAGCGTAGACCGGTGATTAAGCAAAACTCCTCCCTCCCAAAACACGTATACGCCGGTGGAAAATCAAACCATATCTCTTTATCACGACGCTGTATAGTATCTGGTAGATCCCTAGTCATGGTTTGAAGAAACAGGTGTGTTAACATCGCATCTCCACCGGGATATTGTACTTTCAGCCATGGCCTGAAGCAAGTATCCTCAAACATTTTTCTTTGCGCAGGTGAAAGCTTCGACGCAATTGTTTTGGCCAGGCTGACTTTATTTCTTAAGGTCAATTGAGCCGAATAAAAGTTCTACAAAAACAATAAACATACTAAGTTAGATATACCAAAAACTACACTGTGAAGATATACCAAAAACAATAATAAACATAAAGAGTAGTAGTTTATTCTTCAAACTTAAATTTGCAACACTGTGAATTTCTTATTTGTCTTTGTTTTTTGGTTGAAGTAATGCAATTCATTCAAGTTTCAATTTGCAGAAGAAGAATAGTTTCTGAAAATGAAAATCGCAACACGAAAATGACAATCGCAACGCGAATTTGACTATCGCAACGAGAGAATAAAATCGCGTTGCGATTTTGTCGTTGCGATTTTCATTTCGCGTTGCGATTCTCGGTTGATTTAATAAGCAATCTAAGTGAAATTGTTAATCTATTATTGAAATTACCAGTAAACTTATCATCAATTTCAATATGAAAAACCTAATAATAATGCAAAAATTTTAAAAAGAAAATAATTAAAAAAACTAATCATCGGTGGTTGATTTGGTTGATTTTCCATTTCTGATTGTGAGGGTGGCTCTGAGAGATGAAGATAGACGGATTTCGCCGGAGATGGGGACGGATTTCGTCGGAGATGGGTGAGAGAGTGAGAGATGGAGATGGGATTGAGTTGTGATTTTAGGTTTTAGGTTATGAGTTGCGATTACGGGATATACTGTGGACGGTTCAGTGTTCCAATATATTAATATTCGTGTTTGGAATTTGAAAATAAAATACGCTTTGCGATACTAATGGCGCTTTGAAAATCGCATTGCGATTATGTATTATCTCGTTGCGAAAGTTAGTATTGCGTTGCGAAATTAAGTATCGAGTTGCGAAAGTCAGTATCGCGTTGCGATTTTGTATTATCGCGTTGCGATAGTCAGTATCGCGTTGCGATTTTCTAAATTCGCATTGCGATTTTCAAAATTCGCATTGCGATTTACTTATTCGCATTGCGAATTGAGAAAATCGTAACGCGAAATTGGAAAATCGCATTGCGATAGTCATAATCGCGTTGCGAATCTGGAAATTGATTTGCGATAATGGAGATCGTGTTGCGAATTAGCGATCGCATTGCGATTTTGTTGGTCATTTTGGCAAATCCGAAAAAAATTGGTTAAAATCGTATATTATATGAGATTTTTAGTTATTGAGGTTATTTTCTCTTTTATAAATTATAAGAGATAATTATTTTAATATATTATTTATTTAGTAAAAACGTTTGAATTTTTATGATTTTTTTTTACATTTCAGTACTTTTCTTGATAAAACTAAAACATGCTTACGTATATATTGTCAGATGTGCCATACGGACACGACTCTTCCTTGGACATGGGTTGCCTTTTCATTTAATCCTTTTATCTTTTTCTGTCTTTAAAATGGAATCTTTGATTATATATAAACATATATGAAAAAGGAATAGCCATATATGAAAAATTTTATATTATTCGAGTACCGTTAAATATTATTAATTTAATTTATAAAATGTTAAAATTTTAAAATGTTTAATGTATAATTATAAATTTTATATGTATATAGAGGGCGAGAGTGTTATGATTCACTTACACAATGTAAAATTCTTTAATTTTATATAGAATTAAGATTATTTGATTAGTGAAAATAGATGATTGTGATTGATTTATTATTTTTTTTTTCAGTGAATATCTTCTTATTTCTTGCTATTAGTCTCAGCTAGGGATGGCCTGGGGTCGGGTTTTTGGTCCACCTGACCAGACCCGAGAACAAGGGAACCTCTACCCGAGACGCGACCCGACCCGACCAAAACAAGATTTCACCCGACCCGAAATAATAAAAAAATATTTTTATTCAATAAAAACAGTGATTTAATTGAAAAAAATTATATATAGATGGGTATTATTGTAATTATTCCTATATATATGTAAGGTAAAATTATATTTTTTTTGGGTCGGGTCGGGTCGAGTATTTTTCACCCTAAACCCGAACCCGACCAGACTCGAATATCACACTTAAAACAACCTAATCGGACTCGAACCCGAAATTTTTTTAAAAAATCCAACCCGATCGGGTCACGTCTGGTTCGGGTTAAGTGGTCATCCTAGTCTCAACCATCTATTTTCACTCATCTAACAGTCATAAATCTGTGTAAAACTAAAAGAGTTTTACATTGTGTAACAGGATCCTATCTCTATATATATGCAGGGACGGAGTTAAAAAAATTATTTTGGGATATTAAATTTAAAAATTATATGAAGAATTTTTAATTAAAAATTAAATTTTTAAATTTTTATTGTTAAATATTTTTAAAATAAAATGGAGTCAAATTTTTTTAAAACTCTTAAGGTGTTAATTGCCCCCTTAATACATACCGACTCCGCTAACGTATATAGGACCACACACTCCCATTTTTGCATGTAACAGTATTATTGCAATTCAATTATAAATTATTTTTGGTGATTATAAATATCTATCAATAATATAGAATTAATCTAATATATTTCATTTATTAAGTTAGTTTATGTTATAATATGTTGACGATTTGACTTTATCACAATTTAATTACAAATTATTTTTGGTGATTATAAATATCTATCAGTAATATAGAATCAATCTAAGTGTCTCAAATAATAATAAATTAATAAAATAATTAAATAAATATCAATTGAAGGGACTATGTTAAAATTAACGTCAAAAAAGAAAAACATATTACAAGAGAAGATTAAAAAAAATGATGCTTTTGGTGCACATTCTTGCAAGGGATGTGAATTATGAGGCCTTACCTGTCTTAGCACTTAGATATGAGCCCATCCTCTCCACTACCCCACAACTTTGCCCATAATATATGGCCAAAATTACCATGAAAGGAGGTGGATATCACCGGCAGGGATGAATACAGGACCTGAACATGACAGATTCTAATTTAATATGATTTTATTGGGTCAGTTTTTTTTAAAAAAAAATAGATTTAATTTGAGTCGAATCGTTTTTTTAGTGGATAAATTCATATTTGGTTTCGGGTTTATAATGAAAAATATCCTACTCGAACCGATTCTAGAACATAATATAATTATACCTTATATATTTAGAATAATTACAATAATATTATTCTCTCTATATAAATATATACACAGTTAATTCTCTATTTTTGATTGCAGGTTTTATCCCAAAAGATAATCAAATTTCAGGTCGGATAAAGTTACGCTATACTAAAATTAGGTCTAGTTTCAAGTAGAAGAATATTTTTATCGGATTGACCGAAAAACCTATCTATACCCATCCCTAGCTCACGGGGCGGTCAGGCAGGCAGTGGCATTGGTGGAATATTCTTTGATTCAATTAATAAACAATCAAATTTGAGGTGTTTCTGGTAATAAGATATCTACTCTAGAGGACTGCAATCCATACAAACAAACATCACAAATTGGTGGATGCAATTCAATCTGGATAACGATGGCCCAACCTTCCAAATATCATGCACCCCATGAAAGCAACCCATCCCTTTCCCCTCGCCCTCCATAGGCCTAAACAATACTACTATTCTTCACTAGCTTTCATTTCCAATTTTTCCGGTAGAAAAATGACGGTATCGGCTGACGGTCGGTTATCGCTCTCAGCCACCGGTCAGCTCGGTAGCACGTTGGCAATGACCGCGAGGAGATGTCGGCTTGCCAACAGAGAGTTTATGGGGATGAAGGTTAACATGACCCCAAAGTACCAAAGAGCTTGTACTAAGAATGTGAAGCAAACTATTAGCATGTCACTTGCTGTTAATATTGCAGGGGAGTCCAAGGTGATTGCAATCTGTCACACTTTGATATTTGCCATCATTACTCAATAATTAACTAGTGGGGTTATCATTTATCAATGCAGCTAAGGGACCTAGAGATGGAAAAGAGGGACCCAAGGACAGTTGTGGCGGTTATTCTCGGCGGCGGAGCTGGTACTCGCCTTTTTCCGCTCACTAAGCGGCGCGCAAAGCCCGCGGTAAGTTTTGTTACCTTCCTAGTCACATGTGTATATGTACAAGTAGCAGTGAAATTAAGGCATCATTCTTGGTACTGCAATTGCATTCTTTGTTTTTGTAGGTTCCGATTGGTGGTGCATACAGGCTGATCGATGTGCCGATGAGCAACTGCATTAACAGTGGGATCAACAAAGTGTACATTCTCACCCAGTTTAACTCGGCTTCACTTAACAGACATATCTCCCGTGCTTACAACTTCGGCAACGGGTTTAACTTCGGAGATGGCTACGTCGAGGTCAGAGCATTTCATTGTTCGTTTACGCACAATGCCGGTTGATTTTCTGTCTTAACAGGCATCTAATAGAATCCTATCGACTCCTACCAGATACTTGCAGCCACACAAACCCCGGGAGAGGCTGGGAAGAGATGGTTCCAAGGGACCGCAGACGCCGTCCGACAATTCCACTGGCTATTCGAGGTATACATTCGTAGTCTGCATGATCGGAATTTGATAATTTCATCATTATCTTATCAGTATACTAGTTAACCATCTTCTAGAATGCAAGAAGTAAAGAGATTGAAGATGTGCTGATTCTATCGGGGGATCACTTATATAGAATGGATTACATGGATTTCGTTCAGGTAATAAGGAACCATAATATATACATGTAGTATCAATTTTCAGAATCTCAGATACTGAGATTGATCCTTGTTTGATTGCAGAACCATAGGCAGAGTGGTGCAGACATCACCATTTCTGCCCTTCCGATAGACGATAGGTAACATCTTCGAATTTAACTTCTCAAAACTCGTCGTAAGCTTCAGTCTAGTCAAACTATCATGTTTGTTGCTTTGATCGCAGCCGTGCCTCAGATTTCGGCCTAATGAAGATAGACAACAAAGGAAGGATTCTTTCTTTCAGTGAAAAGCCCAAGGGACAAGAATTGAAAGCAATGGCAGTAGACACAACAGTTCTAGGACTTTCGAAAGACGAGGCCGAGAAGAAACCATATATTGCCTCCATGGGAGTGTATGTCTTCAAGAAGGAGATACTTTTGAACCTTTTGAGGTACCGACGAAGAACTCGAAATCAACTATCACGCACGATACTACGTGTAGGAAAACAAATTTATAACACTTTGGTCTTAATTCAGGTGGCGTTTTCCAACTGCAAATGACTTCGGATCAGAAATAATCCCTGCCTCAGCTAAAGAGTTCTTCATAAAGGTACTTAAAATTCTTCGGTTTTTCGACACATTTGCATACGTAAAATGTCGCCGAACATTTAAAAGGTTTGCGTTTCTCCGAGCAGGCTTATCTCTTCAATGATTATTGGGAAGATATAGGAACTATCAGATCCTTCTTTGAAGCAAACCTTGCCCTCACTGAGCATGTATGTGCCTCAATTGCCTTGTGTTCTGCCTTTTACACTGCCTTGTAACATACGTTTTTCACCTCTGCAGCCACCAAGGTTTAGTTTCTACGATGCAGCGAAACCGATATTCACATCGAGGAGAAACCTTCCACCATCGAAGATCGACAATTGCAAGGTCCGAAAACCTCGGTCTCTACTTAAAGACCAATGAATTATCACATTACTTTTTTCATTTTAATGCCAGGTTGTTGATTCCATCATATCCCATGGGAGTTTCTTGAATAATTGCTTCATAGAACACAGCGTCGTCGGCATCAGATCCCGAATAAACAGCAATGTTCACCTAAAGGTTCGTTCTAAACATTTCATCGGGCCCGAGCCCTGACGTCCGGTGCCGATATACAACAATTATGTTGGTATTGGACACACGTAACTCGACGAGAGCATAATGTCATTTCCGATACGTAAATGAATGCAGGATACAGTGATGCTTGGGGCCGATTTTTATGAGACTGATGCAGAAGTGGCAGGTCTTCTAGCCGAGGAAGGGGTCCCCATTGGCATAGGAGAAAACACTAAAATCAAGTAATTTAAAAACATTATTCGATTTCATCGTTAAGTTATTCGGATTCTTCATTTCCCTTTAAACGTATAATCATATTCGTATCGGATACATATATTTGAATAACATAAGTCTCACCATCTTATCTATGTTTATGCAGAGATTGTATCATCGACAAAAATGCCAGAATAGGGAAGAATGTGGTTATTGCCAACTCCGAGGTTAGTTTCTTCAGCCCTTATACATTGTATTAATTGCAGTCGACATCTTCAAACCATAACTAAATTTTAAATTAATCCCTTAAGTTTTCAAATATTTTAATTTAACCCTCAAATTCATATATGCAGGGTGTACAAGAGGCGGATAGATCCTCAGAAGGATTCTATATACGATCTGGAATCACTGTCATATTGAAAAACTCGGTGATTAAAGATGGTTTTGTTATATAAATGAAAAATCTTTATCATCCATTTTTGTTGGTTAGGATGGATCAAGAAAAATAATAAAAAAAAGTATGAAATGAATCTGTGTTAGTCAAAAGTTTTAGTATTGATGCAACCATATTTGGTTAATCTATTTCATTCAACCCCATTGCTTTATTATTGTTAAGTATTTTTTAATTTTCTTATAAATAATTAATTAAAACTTTAGTGATTGTTGAATCCCTCATCGATGGCTTCACGAGTAAATTAACGTGTTAGAAAATTGACTAAAGAAACTAAAACACTAACATATTTCATTTAAAGTTCAATACTTGGATCCAACCATATATTCTTCGATAAATACTGCAATGGTGATTGAAAATTTTGTCAAGAATCAGCATGAGCTTATACTTGTGATGATCATGCACCACCAGCCATATCCATATCAGTAACCCCATCAATTCCCTTAAACACAACACGTAATTTTCTTAAACCAGACGACCTTTTGCCGTCCTTGTCAATTGTACCGGTTGCATGGAGGACGTCTTTGGGGATTTTATCCATGAGATCATAAAGGGGTACCTCTAGATTCGATCGGGTCATCTCTTCCAGAACAGGAGGAGCCTGCATGTATAGATTCTTTCCGCGATATGTAATCGAGGCCTTCGTCATCAGCAGCTTAGGATGCTCCCCTAGCAAATCGATGAACTGCTTTGATGCAACAGGAAAAAAGAAAAGATGAGATTGGATGCTAAAATTTACACAATCAAACAGCTTCATAGATTTCGAAAAAAGGTTAACCTTTTCTAGGGTAACTGTAGTATCCAGCTCAATAAGAACACCCGGACCGCAGACGAGACAGTTCTCATCCTTCACAAATTCAGTCACTTTTGTATGAAGACCTTCAACACCATTATACCTACAAAAGAAGTTTAACAGTAGATTCTAAGGTTGTAGATGATAGCAATAAACAAATGGATATCATTGTTCTAATGCCAGACAAGATAAGCTTGCATATGAATTTTCATCGATTTATGGCAATAGGAAAATCAACATTTTTGCATGGTTTTGGGGGACTATCCTCCCTCCCTAACGTAGCCAAGATTCAGAGATAATTGTAACTATCATTGTGGTTATAATCTATGTCAGACAATAAATGGAAAAAATAAATATCGAAAGCAACATATCCAAACGAGATTATATGTCAAAGCCATTCAAACATTGCCACCAAATCATCACAATTTGCAATAATAGAGAAATATTCATACGTAAGATAGTTTGATAGAGTTTTACTGCATCCAGATGCAATCTTCAAGGTTTCCAAAGTACACGCGGCGGAAATAATTGCATTGGTGGAAGCAATGGCTGGTATGATGTTTTTTACAACACCCTGTAAGTAACAAAGAAATATTTTACATTTATACTGCTTACAACAAAGACGGAATACATTAACTCCGTAGTCAAAGAGAAGAAGACACTCCAAATGTGACAATTTATACTTTTATAGCCAATGGCTAAGGCATAGTTGAAAAGCATCAAAATCTCGAAAAGTAGCCAAGAAAATGTTAAAAACCACATTGACACGTTGGGCAACTTAAATATAAGTTATTTTCTTCAGGAATCGATAAGAACACCAATAGTAGTGATACCGTGATCAAGCATATAAATCACAAATCCCAGAATACCTGAGTAAGAGAATAAGTAACTCCTGGAATGCCGAAAAGCTCAGCTCTCTTGACAGCCTGTGATATACGAATGTATTAGTGAAAGAATAAAAAAAGTAAAATCAATTTGATGGAAAAAAATGCTAGAAAGATCCATATAATTAACCTCATCATAGACCCACTTCATGTGATCTGGATTATCTGGATCGAAAGCCTTTCCACTGTGAACCTATAAGGTTGGGAGAACAGAATTGTCGTGAAATATGAGAATCAACCAATATGTCATCTAAACAAGACAAATTACTACCTCATCCCATTTAATTAAGTGAGCATATTCAATACAATGAGCTGCATTTCTGGGAGTTTCTGCTAAGGTACACAGAGGAAACTTCACTTGAGGTGGAAATAGCCAGATTGTACACTCAAAGCATGGTGTGACCCCGGGCACAATCACCCTAGCATGGCCCTTGAAACCTTCGGTCCCACCATCTACCATAGGCTTCATTGTTTCTTCTTGTGGATTGTCGTCAGAATCATACTCTTAAATAAAATAGGCACATCGAAGGGTTAGCCACTTTCAACAGAGAAAATCGTTGTGACAAATAAATGTCTGGAAGGAAAGCGACGTAGATGGCAAAAGATAAGATATCTTTTCAGAATCCATGATAAAAGTAAAGAAAAACAATACAGACAGGTCAAATGGTATAGTTACCAGACACCTGCCTCTAATAATTTTATACTTCAAATGATCAAACTCACTCCTCCAACACCACAAGTATTAAGGGATTAAAAATGTCTCACGAGACTCAAAACATGTTGAGACATGCCTTAGTCCTGAGCTCTAATGCTTCTTACATCTCACCGTGTAAGCATAGGGAGCATATGACATAAAGCTAAGTATATATATTACCCCTTGTGTACTATCATTGGGCCATGAAGATGAACCTAGAGGGTTAGAATATTACAAAATCTATGCCACCAAAAAGGGAAAAAGAAAAGAATCAAATGGAATGGTTATCAGGCACCAGGTTCTAATCATTTTTGTACTCCAAATTCTCTCCCCTTTTTTGGCCATGAATTCACTCATCCTTCAACGCTAAGTATTAAGGGATTAAAAATACTCGAGTCAAACATGTTGAGAAACATACCACAGTTCTAAGCTCTCATTTTTTTCCAAATCTCATCACATAAGCATAGGGAGTATATGCTATATGGCAATTTATAATCTATTACCCTTACCTGCCATCACTGTGCCATGATGACAAGAGTATTAGAGTATTTTTTATATCCCTCACTATAAGATACATTCTTAGAATTCCAAAATACAAAAACCAGAATCTCGAATGCACTTGGCCAGATATAATAGCAATGGAAAGCAAATTTCAAGTGAATAAAGTCAGCTTGTAATAGGTTAAAAGAACACACCAAGGAAACTACAAGCCACGGCATTAATATAGCTCCGAGCCTCAATGGAATCAAGACCGAGGGCAATGATATTGAAGTCATTATAAAATCGAATATCTTTATCCTCAATTCGGCAAAAATGGGGCACAATGTTTACACCACTAATTCTTTCCATGACGCGCTTAGCTGCGACCTCAGCCTTCGGCTTACCAACATCTTCCAGCCTACAAGTATTATTAACACCCAGAATTACAAAAATTCCCAAACACAAATTAAATAGCAGAGAAGAAGTAGACATCCAAACTGCAGAGCCACCAAACAGAAGAACAAGGTCGTAAAGCAAATAAAATTATGGCAAAAATCAATTTGGCATGAAAAAAATATACATAACCAAATAAATTTCTGATCTTTTTGCAATACAGCCACGCATCTTTCTGTGATTGGTTTTTATTTTGATAAATGAGAAAACCTAACCAGAATATTAAACACCCAAAATAGAACATAGTAAAAGAAGAAAAACCTGAAGAGGAATTGACGGTTGAGATTGGTGACTTCAATCCGATCCATGTCAATGACCTCAAGGTTTTTAAAACCCGAGAGAGCCAAATCCTTGAGCAGCTCACAACCCAATCCTCCTGCTCCCACCACCAAAACTCTCGCATATTCTTGTAAATCATCCCGTAACTGCAATACCCCCAAAAAACCCAAAAATTCAAAGATTGCAGATAAACTGCTCGTACAAATGACTAAGAGAGAGAGAGAGTTATACTTGGACGCCAGGGTCGAAGGTTGGGCCAACAAGGTTTCCTGGACGGAGCAGGAGCTTGTCGAGATCTCTTGATTTACTGGGAGGAGCTGCATCCGCCATGTTTAAGGTTCTTTCTGGAGGCTATGGTTTCTGTTTCGAGAAAAAGAGATGGCCTTTTTGTTTCTTGTTAACTTAGCTTGGTTTCTACTCGACTCTGATAACCGGATGGTGTTTGGCGTTTGGGGTCACGCGTCCTCACTGTTCAGTCGCACTGCAAAACTTTTTTTTTCTATATATATATTTGGTAAAATTATGTTTAGTACCTCAACTATCACTTTTGTTCTATTTTGATTTGATCATTCAATTATTTTTTGTCAGAATCATACTTAATATTATATTTTATTAATCTACCGTTAAAAAATTAACATAACTATTGATATGTCATTTTTATATTTTTAATAATGATATGTCAACATCACTATTAATTTTTTAACGGTAAGTGACAAAATGAAACCAAAACTAAATAGTATTAGGTATGATTTTTAAAAAATAGTTAAATGACTAAACATAATAAAATAATAGTTAGGGTACTAAATATGTAGTTAAATATATTTTTGTAGCTTATGATTTTTTTTCGAATTAGTTACATAATTTTATCTTTTTATTTAAATTAAATTAATTGATTAATTAAACTCTAAGTACGGCATATACTTTATATAGGTGAACCTCCAAATAAGGTGCTTATCAAGTGAGTCGATCGTGAGATGGATAGTGTTCGACTCGTGTTCGTTAAAAAATTTTTTGTTTGACTCGATTTGTTACTCGTTAAAATTTTGCTCAACTCGTGATCATTAAGAAAATTTGTTGCTCACCTCGTTACTCGTTAAGCTCATCAAAATCTTTATTTTATTTTCTCAACTATAGGTAAAATCTACTAATGTTATATAAACCCTAATATAAACATAAATTAATAAACTTATCCAAAAAAATTATCAAAGAGTATATGAAATAATTTCAAAGTCTAAACTCCAAAATAACAATCTACAAATATATTAAAACAATAAATAGAGTTTGATTTTTGAGTGTAGTAAAATATTAATGAATAATTTAGTATTTTTTGTTATTTATTAGAAAATTAATATATTAGCAATTTATCATCTTTTTATTATATATTAGTAAATTAGTATTTTTTAATGAAATAATTTTTTAAGACTAAAAAATTAAATAAAAAATTAATGAGTTGCTCACAAACTTATCGAGTCGAGTTAGACTTTGCTCGACTCAATTTGTTAAGGTCTCAATTCGAATTCGAG